TCAAATGATAAGAAAGCAAAACAGCCTTATTACTAATATGGAGAAAGTTTTAGTTGTCTGGATAGAAGATCAGACCAGCCACAATATTATCTTAAGCCAAAGCTTAATCCAGAGCATGGCCCTAATTCTCTTCAATTCTTTGAAACTAAGATAGGTGAGGAAACAGCAGAAGAAAAGTTTGAAGCTAGCAGAGGTTAGTTCATGAGGTTTAATAAAAGAAGCCCTCTCCATAACACAAAGGCACAAAGCGAAACAGCAAGTGCTAACATAGAACCTGCAGCAAGTTAACTAGAAGATCTAGCTAGAATAATTGATGAAGGTGGCTACAGTAAACAACAGATTTTCAGTATAGATGAAACAGCCTTTTATTGGAAGGAGAGGCCATCTAGAACTTTGATAGCTAGAGAAGAGAACCCAATGCCTGGCTTCGAAACTTTTAAGGATAGGTTGACTCTCTTATTAGGGGTTAATGGAGCTGGTGACTTTAAGTTAAAGCCAATGCTCATCGACCATTATGAAAATACTAAAAATTAGTATTTAAAAATTATACTAAATCTGGCCAGGCGTGGTGGCTCATGCCTGTAATCCTAGCACTCTGGGAGGCCAAGGCGGGTGGATTGTTTGAGCTCAGGAGTTCGAGACCAGCCTGAGCAAGAACGAGACCCTGTCTCTGCTAAAAATAGAAAGAAAGTAGCTGGACAACTAAAAATGTATAGAAAAATTAGCCGGGCATGGTGGCACATGCCTGTAGTCCCAGCTACTCAGGAGGCTGAGGCAGGAGAATCGCTTCAGCCCAGGAGTTTGAGGTTGCTGTGAGCTAGGCTGACACCACGGCACTCTAGCCTAGGCAACAGAATGAGACACTGTCTCGAAAAAAAACAAAAAAAGAATTATGCTAAATCTATTCTGCCTGTGCTCTATAAATGGAACAACAAAGCCGAAATGACACTACATCTGTTTATAGCATGGTTTACTGAATATTTTAAGACTACTTTTGAGACCTACCACTCAGAAAAAAAGAAAAAAATTCTCTCAAAAAACTGTTGCTCGTTGACAATAAGCCTAGTCAATAAAGAGCTCTGATGACAAGAAGATTCATGTTGCTTTCATGCCTGCTAACACAACATCCATTCTGCAGCCCATTAATCAAGGAGTAATTCTGACTTTAAAGTCTTATTATTTAAGAAATACATTTTATAAGGCCATAGCCGCTATAGATAATGATTCTTCTGGTGGATCTGGGCAAAGTAAATTGAAAACCTCCTGGAAAGGATTCACCATTCTAGATGCCATTAAGAACATTTGTGATTCATTGGAAGAGGTCAAAATATCAATATTAACAAGAGTTTGGAAGAAGTTGACTCCAGCCTTCATGGATGACATTGAGGGGTTCAAGACTGCAGTGGAGGAAGTAACTGCAGATGTGGTGGAAATAACAAGAGAACTAGAATTCAAAGTGGATCCAGAAGATTTGGCCTAATTGCTGCAATCTCATGATAAAAGCTGAACAGATGAGTTGCTTTTTATGGATGAACAAAGAAAGTGGTTTTTGAGAAGGAATACACTTCTGGTGAAGATGTTATGAACATTATTGAAATGACAACAAAGGATTTAAAATATTTTACGAACTTAGTTGATAAAATAGTGGCAGGGCTTGAGAGGATTGACTCCCATTCTGAAAGAAGTTCTACTGTGGGTAAAATGCTATCAAATAGCAACACATGCTAGAAATCATTCATGAAAGGAAGTCAATCAATGTGGCAAACTTCACTGTTGTCTTATTTTAAGAAATTGCCACTGTCACTTCAACCTTCAGCAACCACCATCTTGTCCTGATCAGTCAGCAGCCATCAACATTGAGGGACAACCCTCCACAAACCAAAAGATTACAACTCAATGAAGGCTGAGATGATTATTAGCATTTTTCAGCAACAAACTATTTTTTAATTAAGGTATGTACATCTTTTTTTTAGACATTATCCTACTATACAACTAAAAGACTACAATAAAGTGTAAACATAACTTTTATATGCACTGGGAAACCAAAAAATGTGTGTGACTTGCTTTATTGTGACATTCACTTTATTATAGTGGTTTAGAACCAAACCTGAAATATCACTGAGGTATGCCTGTACCAAGATGGTAGATTTAAAACCAATCATGTCAGTAACAACACTGAATATATACATGGAGCAAATATTCCAAATAAAAGGCAGAGAGGCAGAGATTGTCAGTCTGGATAGAAAAGCAAGACCCTAATATATGTTGCCTACTAGAATATACTTTGAACAATAGAGACAGGTCAAAATGAAAGGATAGAAAAAGAAATAACATAAAAATATTAACCACAATAAAGCTGGGATGGCTATATTTATATCAGACAAAATAGATTCTTGATTGGATACTGGATCAGAAAAAGATAATTAGTATGATAATTTAAAAAATTCAAATAAAGCCTGTAGATTAGGTAAAAGTATTATATCAATGTTAATTTCCTGGTTTTGTAATTGTACTGTGGCTACATATGATATTAATATCTGGGGGAGCTAAGTGAAAGGTATATTGGAATTATAATTTTTGTAAGTTTTTCAAAAATATGTAATTATTTCAAAATGAGAAGTTGAAAACATTTTAAAAATTACAAATTTCTGCTCTCCAAAGACACTAATAAAACAAAAAAGCAAGCCATAGGCTGGGAATAAATATTCAGAATACTTATATTTGACCAAAAATATACTATATTTGATTTATATAAAGGAATTTTATTCAGAATATGTAAAGAACTCCTATAATTCAATAATACAAATTAATTTTTAAAAAGGGGCAAAGGATTTGAAACAGCAAAAAAGAAGATATATCAAATGGCCAATAAACACATAGCAAGATGCTCAACAGCGTCATCATGGAAATTCAAGTTAAAAATCACAATGAATTCCCATAATGGTTCCCATCCATGAAATGGCTAATCTAAAAAGCTTGGCAGTACTATGTGTTGGCACGTATATGGTACAGCTGGAGCTTTCATCCATTACTGATAGGAATGTAAAATTGTACAACCTACCTAGGAAAAGCTTAAGAAACTAATTTGCTACCTTCTTAAGTTAAATACACTTACCACATGACTCGACAATTCTACTCTTAGGTTTTCACCCAACAGAGATGAAACTGTATGCCCACATTAACACTTCTACATGAATATTCACAACAGCTTTATTTATAATAGCTCCGAACTAGAAACAGCTCATGTGTCCATCAATGCATGATACCTACTGTGCTATATGGGCATAGAAAGGAATACTACTAAGCCATAACATAAACAAACCACTGATACACGCAAAAACACAGATGGATCTCAGAAAAGGGGGGGGGGAGGTATCCACACAATGAAATACTTCCCACTGTTAAAAAAGAATGAAGTATTGATACATAATACAACATACATGAATCTCAACATAATTACATTGAATGAAAGAAGCTAGACATTAAAAAGTACATACTGTGTGAGTCTATTTATATAAAATTCTAAAAAAAAAAAAATCTAAAGTGAGAAAGTGATGTGTTTACCTTGGACTAGGGGTGGGAACTAACTGGGAAGGGGTATACGCAAACATACGGGAGTGATAAAATGTTCTAAATCTTGATTGTGAAGGTAGCTACATAGGTAGCTATATATTCACAGGTAGCTATATTCACAGGTAGCTATATATTCACCAAAATGTATTTACACCACAGAATTAAATTGGGTACATTTTATTGTATGTAATTTGTACTTCAATAAATTTAATTTTAGAAATTGTTAAATGTTGTACAACATGATGCTTTGAAATATCCAGAGCACTACATGCTAGAGCAGAATGGCTCTCTCTTTAGTGTCTGAAAGTGAGAGTCAAAAGTTAGCTGGAAGTCTCCTCTTAACATATGCTTCAACATTTTTCTTAGCCAGGATCAAGTGTATAATGAACAGAAAAAAGTGGGTAAGGCTACGGTTAGTCCTAAAGTTGAAAACATCCCAAATGAAAAGAAAATGTGTTTAAAAGTATGCCAGAAAGTTACCTGATTGGCATTTCTGTAACAGAGAGCAGTATAACATAATCTTAAGAGTCTAAACAATAATATTATATGTACATTGCTGTATTCTTTAGGTTAAATTTATGCTAAAATCTATATATTGAGTAGTTCTTTTAAATATACCTAAACATATTTAACAGAGATACTTCCATTTTATAGATAAAGAACAGAGAGGTGAAATAGTTACTTGCACAAAGTTAAATAGATAAAAGTGTCAAGCTGGGATTGAACCTAAGCCTTTCTGACTCGAGTCCTTGGGCTCTTTACTGTTTGCCATTTTATCTCCGATTATGCCATATATATTACCTTTTGCATTATAAAGAGGCTCAAGTGTGTGACCCTGTACAGGTTACAGAGCAATGGTATTGATCTCCTTATGCTGTGCTTGTATGTCTTGGGAATGGTACTGAGAAAGCAGTTTAAAGCATGTGGAAAGCATTAAATTCTACAAAATGTCATTCCTATATAGTATCAAATACTAAAAACAATTCCAGGGACTGAAGAGATGCTGGTCCCAAGTAACTTTCTTTAACTTGATTCCCTAGTCTACCCAAAAGCTCACAAAGTACTATAAATCACAGTAGAAGGAAGATAAGAAATGGATCTCAGAACATCTCTTTTAATTTGGGAGAGGACAACTATAGCAGTCTCTCTCATTCTATTTTCCTTTTTTTTTTTTTTCAGTTGTTTACTTTTCTTTGTATAATTCTTTTGGATTTTAAAGTTTCATATATTTCCTTAGCTTTCTTCACCAGGAGTTTTGCTAGTAATGGATGTGATTTATTCAGAATTATTGTGTTTTATTAATTTTTTGAAATGTATAGTAATAAAGTAATAGAATTATACTAAATTAAAATTATCTACTTTAATGACAAAAGGAAAATATTCACTAATTGAGTATCTTGTTTAAGAATATATAAAATATTTTCATCCTACCTGAAATCACATGCTGTAGTAAATTCTGCTCCTCCACCCAATGCCCAACCTTGAACCAGCGCAACACTTATTAATGGAAGTCTATATATTGAAGGAAAAATTGATATTAACATTTTTAATTTCAATATTAATTTACAAATGTTATTTTTAAAAATATCTTAAAATGCAATGAAACAAAAGTATTGCATTGTCTTTATAGTAACAAACATTGTCTTTATAATAACAAACATACATCAAGGGATAGTAGAACCTTGAACCTATGTACCATGAGAGGAAGAATAGTATAATACCAAACATATAATAATTCATACTAAATGCCATGTAAGTTTATCAAAAGACCTCCCTAAATCACTATGTATTTTTAAAATACAGACATATTGTGACTTTCTTTCAAATAGGTGGATGCTTTTTGTATAATATACAACTCCCGGAACTTCTCAGCAGCTGGCAACCAGGAATAATTCAATGTGATGTTGTTTTAGTCCATTTTTATTGATATCAGGTTAAAGGTGGGAAAATTAAGGCTGTATCCAAAGGAAGGAAATGTGGTACAGAAGATAGAGCCCCAAAAGTGTGTTATGAAGGTTTCTATCAAAAATCTTCTCATTACTGCCTGAAGTAACCCATAGACTAATCCTATACAAAGGCATGATTTGATGGTAAAAATAAATCCCCTACCATTCCTGTTTACAAAGAACCACTTTGCAGGAGTGTCTGAATAGTACAAGGTAAATCTAAAATGTTTCAAGGTATGAAATTTTTTGTACGTTCTAACCAAAATGCAAACCTGCAAGTCTAAAGTAATTGAAAATTTCTTAACATGCATTGGTCCCAAGTAGAAAGGATTATTTTAAAAAGAATAACTTCTCAGATTTATCCAAGAAAAAGTCAGATGGAATAGGGAAAGGGAGGTTAACAAGAACTAAGACAATAAAAATAGTATTTTAGAATAGTAATGGTATGATTCTGTTAAATGTTACTCTTTCTAGACTCTCAGATGTAAGTACCTAAAGTACAGTGATGACCAATAACTATGCTTAAACAAATACGAATATTAGTTTTCATATTTTAAAATTGTCTATATTCAGAATATGAAAATAGAAAACTAATGAGCCAAATATGTCACAGTTTGTAACCCCAAACATAGAAAGATAAACCAAGAAGAATTTTTCCCCTTTTCTTTCTTCATCTAGGTACAAAGTGATCCGTCTTCCTCAGAAAGCTGTAAAAGCCTTCTCCAATCCATAGTTCTTTTTCTCTCTCCTCTGGATACAAACTACTTCATAGCACAGTCTACTAATTTTGAATATTAGATAATCTCTGAGTGTCTTCTCTTGATCAGTGTCTTTATTTTGCTGTAATATCAGTATTTAACTTTCCCCATGTCTATTCCTTAATATAGCTAGTTATATATGCTCTTTAGGGAAAGGGCTATATCTTAAGTTCTTTTTATTTCTCTTATTTTTAAAATACTTCTATATACTTCACTAACATATAATTAAATGTCCTCTATGGCACAAAGAAATAGTTCATCATTAGAATAAACATAATCTGAAAATCAGTTATTATTTTTTAACTGGTGCAAATAATTGAATAATAAGATATTTGGGGTTTTAGAAATTATATTTTAAAAGGAAAGGTACATTACCTCATAAATCTTGTTAAGGTATTCTGCATGAACATACATAACGCTATTCCATCCTTTAAATAAAAATAAACATAAACAGTAAGGTATAATGTAAATATATAAGAAAATTTTTTAAAATTCAGATTTTAGAAACTAATAAAACCAAAAATATACCTAACTTTTTTAAAAATGACGTTTCCATTTCAAACTCTTTGATGCTGTGTGTAATGTAAATGGTGCTGTGTTTGACTCTGCTGATACTCTAGGGCTCCTTGAACCCAGATTTGAATGAGGCATTAGCAAAGATGTAGGCATGAGAGTCAGGTCACACACCTCAGAACAGTATGGACTTCTACGCAGGGTGATGTGAGGGGTAGAGGCATAAGATACACCCACCTATTATCCCCGAGAAGATAAACATATAAAGGAAGAAGGGGAAGAAAGGAAAAGTGATGTTAAGCTTTGATTTTTTTTTACTTCTAAGACTTTTATCTCGGTATCTCCACAAATTAAAATTTTCTTAAGAAAATTTCTTAATTGTAGTCCAAACTCATTACCTCTTCTTTTCTATCTCACACACTTTCTTCAACCTGTGTAATCTGGCCTTCAGCTTTCTCCCAAAAGACTCTCCTCAAAGGTTTCTAATAATCACATATTGGTCAAATTAAATGACTTTTCCTCATTTCTATTTTTCTTCTCTCACTCCATAACATGTGGTACCTTTCCTTTGGCTAGTTTCTTCACTCTGATACTCTCTTAGTTTCGAGCAATGCTATACACTCCTGATTCTCTTCCCATTTCTTTGATTGTTAATTTCCAGTTTTCTTCCTTGGCTCTTTTTATTCAGCTAATCCCCTAAATGGATGTATTCCCAAACATCCAACCCATGAGTTTCTTTATCTTCTTTATTTACAATTTCTTTTTTGGAAGTCTCATACACTCCCATTGCTTCAACTACTGAATTCCTGTGAAGTGCTAGACATTTTCACATCCTGCCAACACCTCAAACTCAGTATGGCAAAACCAACTAGGAGTAAAAAAGAGTCAGTTTGAATCTTAGTGCTATCACTTAATAACAACATGAACTTGAGCAAGTTATAACTATGAATGTCAATCTTCTCATCCATAAGGAATGAGAAATAAAAATAATATCTGTTCTATTTGACTTAAAGGGTGGTTGGAAAGATGAAAATGTACCTAGACACTCTCTGTAAAAAGCTTACATAAATATAAGAGGTCTGTTGTTAGTGGAAAAAGTTAGTGTAAGAGGTCTGAGCTAGTGGTCAACAAAGCTCATAATTTTGGTACTAATTTTGACTCTTTCATTTCATAATTTTCCCACCCTCAGTGAGCTACCAAGTAATTCCCCCCCTCAGTTCTTCCTTTGAAATATTTCCAATATATTAATACATCCATTCTTTTTATATTCTCACTGCTGCTGCACTAGGTGACAGACCTATGTTACTGAAGACTAAAGTATTATAATTCAATAGCTTTGCTTCCGAATGAAGGAGCTCAGGATATTTCATCCCAGAATATGACTCCTTGGTATAAAGAGTATTTTGAATTAAAGACCCTTAGAGATTAACAGGCCTTAGAAGGGACTTTCCCTCTACCTGCATAAACCAGACAGGACCCATCAAAAAGAATAAACATTTTCCCTTTCTTTCCCTGTTATCTCAATATATTACAGGAAAGAAGATCAAGAATGCAACCAGACCTTTTGAATATAGTATTTGTCTCAAGTTAATTCATTCTCCCAAGTATTTATTCATTCTCCCTAGTAACCATTTATTGCCACTCAACAGAATTACCTATCGTCCTCATCTCGCCCCTCTAAAATGAGGGTATGTAAACTTCTGGACCCCACTGGGATATTAGGTAATCACTGTGATTCTCCCTGTGTGCATGGTAAATAAATTTGTAATCTAATTTCTTGTATTAATCTGCCTTATTGTGAGTTGATCTTTCAGCAAACCTTTGGGGTAAAGCAGTTTTCCTTCTCCCCCCCAGCACATAACATAGATAGCATGTTAGATAGAATCAATTATTATGGAAAAAACTAAAACAGGGAAGGAGATAGAAGGACCAGGACCGGTAGAGGTTATAATTTGAGATAGGGTGGTCAGGGCAGGCTTCACTGAGAAGGTAACGTGTTGTAAGGGAGGGAGTGATCTGTGTGGAGAGGTGAGCAAAAGCCCTCCAGGCAGGGCCTGGCATGGCTGAGGAACAGTGGCAAGGCCAGTGAGATTTGAACAAAGGGAGTGAGTTACCAAGAATTTTACATATACTATTTCTAGTTTTTATTAATTTTAAAATCATCATGTGATAAACATACTCCATACTTTAACATATTACTATTTCTTAATATTATCCATAAAGAGAATTTTACTCAAATTACTTATTTTTATACTGTGTATTTCCTACACTATGACTATCAAGATTTCATAAAAGTACAATAAAGAATTCATCTACCCTGGAAAATGCTTTAAATAAAATATTTCAATTCCAATCTGAGTTCTAAGTATACTCATTGTAAAGCAGACTCCCAATTCCAGATTTTCCTTGCTGAGATGGGCAGGTATATATAGCAACAAGTAAGGGACACCTGCAGTGATATTCATAGCATTAAGGCCACACCACCCTAGTTCTCAGCTGTCAATCAAAAGATTTACTGTAGGCACTAAAGAGAGATTACTTGGAGAATGTCTGTATGAGAAAGAAGAAACTTTATTAAGTGATCCCTTATGTGAAGTCTGAATAAAACCTCTGTGTTTTCCTACATGACTTATATCACACTAACAATGTATATATGAAACAACTAGTATGTTTCCACTTGTGGCTTTCACATATATAAGAAAAGAAACCCAGACACATGATATAAAGAGACAAAAACCTACCTTCTATCTAGAAGAAAACAGCAAAATAAAATATCCACTCATCTTTCTAGAGATGTTTTCCTACCCAACTTATATCAGAACCACAACAATCTATTTATCTCATTCTATTGTTGCAATGTCTTTCATGAACTTAGTGCATAGTAGTACAGTCATTCTAGAAGTGAAAAAAATATATGCACCCTAATGTTTAAGAAGCAAATCGAACAACAAAAGAAGTATTTACTTCATGACTTCTAAAGGAAAGGTGATGATCTTGAATTCAATCTATCATCTTAATAATACCAATTTATATTAGTATTTGAAATCTTCTAGTACTTCTTCCCAGTTTACAAAACACTTTAGTATACACTAGCTAACTATGAAATAGGTTTTATCAAGCCCATGGAGCTAAGGCTAAGAGGAAAGTTATGTATCTTTCTCTTTTTGTTAAGTGGCAGATTTGTGTCTAACCCAAGAATTCTCACTCTGGATTCAGAGCTTTCTTTATCCTGTTATAGTTATGGGTAGGCACAACTAACCCAGGAATTTGTTCTATCAATGTAGGTAAAAGAGAGAGACAGACACCCAACCCCCAGATCTTGGTTTCTAACACAATTCTATACCATTTTCCCCTACCAGGACTCCTTGGAGAAATCACTATTCTAGAATTAGAGCAAGGAAAATAGAAGGTTAACCTGGAATATCTGATAGCACCAGAAAGTAAGGGAGTACTCAAAAAACTAAAAGGATAGGTGAGTGTCAAAGGGACACAGGAACTATCCTGAAAGGACTCCCAATGGCCAAAGCTGGAACAACTTGAGCAACAAAATGAATAATGCATGCAAAACAAATATTCATGAACACACACTGATATAAATAAAGAACTGCATAAATAAATACATGAATAAATGGGAAAGAAGACAAAAATCTTCTTTATAGAAGAATTTCAAATAATTGACATAAATATGTCCCCTCCCCAGGAGATGGAACTTATTCTCCCTCTCCATGTGAGTGTGGACTAAATTTAGTGTCTTCTTTCCAAAGAGGAGAATATGGAAAATAACTTTAAGGTAGAGAAACCAGGCAAACACTAGCTTGGCCATGTGACCAAGGTTAACATGAATAGTGATAAGTCATGTTGACAGTATGTTCCCTTGATATGTGATGAAAATACCACCTTACTCTGGTCTTCCTCTTAGAAACCCATAACCCAGTCTAGTATGAGAAAAATGCCAGACAAATTCCAACTATGGAATATTCTAGAAAATACCTGACTTGTACTCTTCAAAACAGTCAAGGTCATGAAAAACAAGGAAAGTGTGAGAAACTGTCACAGATAAGAGGAATCTAAGGCGATATGATGACTGAATTTACTGTAGTATCCTGGACGGAATGCTGAAGCAGAAAAAGGACTCCAATAGAAAAACTAGTGAAAAACAAAGTATGAAGTTTCTTTTCCCCTTTTTTAAAATCACTTTATTGAAGCATGATTAACATGTAAAAAGATAACACATACTGTAAGATAAGTATGAACCCATCCTATGCAACCATCATGACCATCAAGGCCACAGATATATCCACCACCTCCCTAAGCTTCCTCCTACTCCTTTTATTATTATTTTGTATGTATGTGTAATAAGACCACTTAACCTAAGATCTACCTTCTTAGAAAATTTTAAGTATACACTACACTACTGTTAGCTATAGGGACTATGCTGTACAGATCTCCAGAATTTATTTATCCTGCATAACTGAAACCTTGTAACCCTTTAAGCATCAACTCTCCATTCCCCCATCCTCCCTCCCAGCCCCTGGCAATTACCATTCTACTCTCTGCTTCTTTGAGTTTCACCATTTTAGATGCCACATGTAACTGAGATCATACAGTGGAATTTCATTAACAGTAAGGTACCAGTGTTGGCTCATTAGTTGTAATAAATCTATGTACCATAGTAATATATTAAAAACAGAATGGAGGAAACTGAATGTCAGGTATATGGGAACTCTGCTATGTTTACAACTCTTCTGTAAATCTAAAATGATTCTAAAATTTTTAAAAATTGTTTTTAAAAAAAAGAATCAATAGAACTGGGGAAAAAAGAGACAAAATGGAGGTTTGGGGGAAGCAGCAGTAGCAATATTGAGAGCAAGAGAAAAAGAGAGAGAATCTCACCCTCCAAAAAACCTCAAACAACTTAGAGTGCTCTGCTAAACCACAAAGAAGAGCAATGTCAAAGATTTTACTGAAGTGCCCTTTGCAGATAGCCCATTGGTAAAACTTTAAGAATCATTTGTTTCCCGTATAGATAATACCTACTATATAATTCCCCCTATATATTGTTTCCCCTATATAATTTCCCTATAACTCTACCAAAAACAAAATGAATCAAAAAACCTTCTGATCCTTTGAAAGTTATTAAAGTTATCATAATAACCATATAAGTAAAATACAAATATCTCAGCCATAGATGTTTGATAAACACATAGAATCTAATGTATAATCCACTTGCCTCTGGAGTTCCTAGTGCTTTCACTGCATTCAGATCAGATCCTGAAGAGAAAGTATTTTTTGCCCCTCGGACAATGAGGCCTTTCCCCTCTGTCCAATTTTCTAATTCGATCACTCTTTCCAGAAGTTGCAGCATCATAACACCTGCCAGAGAGGGCAGGGGAAGTAATAAACACAGTTAATATACTGTAAAAATAGAAATAATGTATAAATCACAAGGTGTCAAGCAGTACTCTTACATGCTTTATTAATATTTGCCAAATGTCTATCCAATGCCTATTGTGCTGGTACTATAGAGTAAACAAAAGAGGTATATATGACAGTCCCTGCTTTAAAAGTTTAAATTTATTAGTATATCTATCTATCTAAGAAATCACACAAATATATGATTAGGTAGAAAAATAAGAATATATTAATATCATACATGTCCCAAGAATAATAAAATTATAATGTACAATATGGGATATGGTAATAAGAAAAAATTATTTCTTAGGGTAAAGATAAAATACAGACTTCTCGGCAATACATGTTCAGTGTTTCAGTCAATAAGCTGTATGCGTACAACATAGGACTATGAGATCCTATGATCTATTGGACATATGGTATATAGAACAAAGTGAAATTTTTGTCCTACTCACATCACAGCTAGTATAATAGGATGTTCGTTCAGGAAAGGGGTGGTAATTATCATCTTTTCCACAGTTGAAAAACCATGCTCCAAGGAGCCCAAGGCATACTACGGAAGTGTTTCACATGCCACCAACCATTGATTCTATAATTTATAGATTAGATTGTTACTTTGGTATTGCTCCAAAATTCTACTGGAGCTTCTTTATAATGAAGAAATTTAAAATAGAAACAGCAAGGACTGTCATTTTTAAGAGCTAATCAGTAACTTTTAGATATGCTTATCTTTGGTGATCTTCCAACTTCAAAAAAGTTCACTGTTCTCAACATGATTGATTTTATTTTTTTCTGCCTAAGAAATGCTTTAGAATCTAATATAAAGGTCATAACAGAGGGTTCAAACTGACAAAGAATCTGTACCACAAGGTCCCAAAACTTACTATATAGGCCCCATTAAACTGTGTATACTTCTTTGGAATATAAATCCCACAATGTCAAGAACTATTATTTTCTTTGCCATTTTCTGAAGTAAATAGTAGTGAAGTGGTCCTACAATAAATGTTAAATCAGTGTTACTAAGTCACAAATGACTAAGCAACTATCCTTTCTAATTGCTAACAATGGACTGCATATACAATGGTGATCCTATAACATTATAATGGAGCTGAAAAGTGCCTATTGCCTAGTGATGTCAAAGCCGTTGTCCTGTTGTAGTGCAACACATTTTACACGTCTGTGTTACAACAGCCTATGGTATTCACGCAGTAACATGCTGTAAAGTTTTGTAGCCTACGAGCAATAGGTCATACCATATAGCCTAGGTATGCAGTAAGCTATACCTTCTAGTTTTGTGTAAGTCATTCTATGATGTTTGTTTACACCATGAAGAAATGACCTAATGACATATTTCTTAGAACATATCCCTATCATTAAGCAATGCATGACTGTATTTAAAACTGTAACCCTTCCTAAGGATGTCCTAGATGCTTTAGAAATATAGTTCTTGCTCTCAAGTGATTTACAGTCTAGTAAGGGAAACCAAAAAACCTCACATATTTAGGGTAAGAATAAATCTGTATAGGTAATTATGGACCTTTAATCATTAGTCATAATATTTAAGCTTCTAAATAATAATGCTATCCTTAAGTATAAAAAAATTTATACTAGTGATTAATCTTAAACTCATGTTTTTACTTTGTAAAATAAACCTTAAGAGTTGGAAGAGACCTTAAAGAGTATCTAATTAGATGATTTTTAAACAAGAGCCTTGAGGGCTCACTCATCCTCTCCCAACCCAATTCAAACAAACACCATTACCCAAATCAAAGCAGCTCTACTTTTATTAGTTTTATATGTCATACATCAAATTAATGTTTCCACTTGAATAAAAAATTATTATTTGAAACTAATGAGAAGCAAATTAAAACTATTAATCTAATTTAACCTTCTAGAGCAGCCTTACCTTTCCATTTTTATTTTTCCTGGGATAATATTAAAATTGGCTTTTAGTCCCTAAACCAATTGAAGGTGTGGAGCTGCACAGTCTAATAAAGTAGCCACTAGCCACACGTAGCTATTGAGCACCTGAAAGGTGGCCAGTCCAAGTTGAGATGTGCAGAAAGTATAAAATAAATATCAGATTTCAAATATTTAGTATGAAAATAAAAAGGAAAATATTCATATTTTTCTACATCTGTTATATGTTGAAATAATATTTTAAATATACTGAGTTAAATAAAATAATTATTAAAATTAATTTTACTTATTTCTTTTTACTTTTTTAACTATTGCTACTAGAATATTTAAAATTACATATGTTGCTCACATTTGTGTCTTGCATTATATTTCTGTTGGTCAGCACATTACATCTCTGAATTCTGATAAGTGGAGAAAAAAGTTATCTTGGGTTTAAAGACCCACAACTGGTAATTTACAAAGTTTACAGTATATCGATTTATGTCTCTAGGGGCGATCATATATAAAGTAGACACATGAGAATTTATTGAGATATTTTTTAGCCCAATATTTCAATTGCTACTAAAGAATATACTTATCCCCCATGAAGTGAATAACTAACAAATAGAGGTTACCAAATGAGTGGTGAGTGTTCATTCAGCAAGGCTACTCATTAGCTCTTGCTTAATATCATGGTAGCATAATTCAAATTTGAGCTTCCACAAAAATTTTAAATTATCATATGTCCTGGATCTTCAGGTCTCTTAAACATAAAATTCATACATGCTGTAAGTGTTAACTAGCAAACAGAACACATTCACCAGTATACTGAGTTAAGAAAGAGTCAACAGATAGGCAAGTGTAGTGTTTCCACTGTAACCATGAAATTACATAGTTAAAAACTAACAATAACAGCCTCATTTTAATTCATAGAAAAAAAATTAAGCTAAATAATTCTTTTCATTTACAGGCTTTTCTCTTTAATTTCAGAAAAATCTTTTAAAACTCCTTCCCCTTGTTTCCCAGTGGCACTAGTTAAAAATAAATGAAGTTATTAAATGGTTAACGAATTTCAATGAAAAAATACAATCAATATTAAGTTCCTTTTATCAACATTTGTATTAATGAATTTTCTGAAAACATTAAAATATTCATAAATAGTAAAAATGTTCCTGGTTCACATTACGGAGATTTTGTTGTCTTTATTTTTGTGTTCTACAAAGAGTACCACGACTTTAAAGAATTCTATGACAAGAGAAATGATTACATGTGATAGCAGGTTAGATTCAGTATGATTCTTTAGGAAGAAAAGAAAGTATCTCTAATACCTGAGAAGGCATTCAATTTACTTGGATTGTTCAGAGTAAGAATGCCAATGCCATTGTCTTTCTTCTGAAGGTCAATGGATCCACCAGGAAACTGCTGAAGTGTTTTTTTTACTTCTTCCTCATGGAAGCCATGGGATGTATTATATAGTGACGATCCCACTTGATTTAGCAATTTGGTCCTTAAAGACAGAGATGATGTCTTCAAAAGACTTCTTGCCATTTCTGGAAAAGAGAGATAAGTATGCAATTTTCTAGATGAACAGACATTCACTTTTCTAATAATACCTGTTAACAGGCTGCAATAATGGACCTTTCTGTTAAATTGGGAATATCTGCTGACTTCTAAAAGCACTCTTTCAGGAGATGGTCAGTACGGAATTCCTTTCATTTTACCCTTCTTCTCAAACCAAATAATTCACAAAGCATATCATTTCACTGTATCATGGAGAAATGTTGACATAATTACAGTACATTTACTGGGATCCAATACACTAGGAAGATTTAGAAAAAACGGTGCTGTTCCGTATTTAGCACCATCTCCTACCTCCAGGTGGTCTCTCTCATCACAGTATTTCTTCATTCTCCAACCCTTAACTTTTTCAAAATCTAAGAATAAATTCAGTCCAAGTGTCCCCTTGGAAACAGTCTCTATGCAGAAATGCTGTAAGAGCAATCCCACTCTCTAACAGAAATTTTATTCTTAGCATTATCCTTACCTTCTGCAACGCTTTCACACAAAAATTTGAAAGGGGCCCCAAGGAAAACGAGGAAGGAAATAGGAATGTGCATGTGGTTTTTGTGTTCCCCAGGTTTCTGTCACTCTTTTCTTCTTACTTTACATATACTTCTTGGGTAATCCCATCTCTGCCCATAGGCTTTTTTTTCCCTCCATGTAAACATTTTTGTTGATACAAAACATACATTCAGAAAAGTATACAAAACATAAGTTACAGCTCAATAAATTTTCATAAGGTACATTCTAGTAAATGGTACCCAAATCAAGAAACAGGATGTAACCTGAATCTCAGAAAGTCCTTTGTGCCACCTTTTGGTCATGATCCCTCAAATAAGGATAACAACTACCTTGACTTCTAACAGCCAAGACTAGTATACTTGCTCTTGAACTCTACATAAATTGAATAGCATATATTCTTTTGTGTCTGGTTTCAACTTTATATTTTTAACACCATTACTCTTATTATGTGAGTCTAAATAGTCCATTATTCTCATTGCTATATTCTATTATATAAATATCACACAATTTATATATTCCAATGTTGATAGACATTTGGGTTGTTTTTGACATCACAAATAGTGTTGCTGTAAATACTTCAGCATATGTCTTTTGGTCAATATGAATGCATTTCTGATGGATATATATCTGGGAATGAAACTGATGGGTTGGTGTGCTAAAGCCCAGCTTATACTGATTATTTAACACTGATTATTTAACAGAATTTTGCAAGTTGCTTTTTTAAACCACTGGTAGCTTGAAATTGACCATGGTGGGAATATCAGTAACATTACTTCTTTCTCTCTCCCTCTTTCACACACAAACACAGTTTACCAGTATACCACCAATTACAATATATGCATTTTTTCATTTGTTCAACTTTAGAAGACATTGCCAAAGAGTTTTTCAAAATGGTTGTACCAATGTATATTCCCATAGATAATGTTCCAGTTGCTCTACAACCTTGTTGTCACTTACCATCTTCCCCCCCCCCGCCCATTTTAGGTATTCTAGCGAATGGTATCTCATTATGGTTTCATTTTGTATTTCTATGATGTCTAATGAAGGCAAGCCATTTTCTTATCCTTATTTGTCATTTACATATAATATTTTGTGAAGTGCCATGCAAGCTTTTTGACAATTGTTCCTATTTATTTGCCTTTTTATTATTGTTCATTTGTTAGAGATCTTTTATTCTTCTGCTCACAACTTTCCTAAAACCCATAAGACAACAAAGCTTACATTTCTATCTCCAATTCAGACCTTATGCTTGTACTCCTAACTCATAGTATCGCCTACCAGAAATGCATTTCCCTTGCCCCGCTCAGCTCTGGGTATATCATAGGTTTCTCAAAATCATTGTCTAAACCTGAACTCATATTTCACCTAAAACTTGCTGCTCCTTCTTTATTCTGTCTCTTAACTATTCATTGTATCATCAACTCAGTGGTTCATGCCAGAAAACCTCTAGGGCAACCCAATCTCCTCTCCTACCTCACCTGCCACATGTAATGTACCTCTAAAATGGTTTCCTCTTTCTTTTCTTTCCCATCCTCTATTCCTTCTATTATGAATATAGTTCAAACCTGATTATATATCATCTAGACTAATACAATGGTCACCAATTAGTTTCACACTATTCCTTGTATTAGTGTGGATATCTTTGTAATCCAATCAGGACGTTTTAAACTTAAGGTTTTTAAATAGTTCTCTATTACTGAAAGAATCAAGTCCAATAGTCTCTTTGATCTGACTCTTACCTAAATCTTGAATCTCTTCTCTCATGATATGTCTATACAATCTACATGGGACACCAAATAACCAGAGTCCCAGAAATTTACCATGCCATTTTATATTATTACTTCCCCTCATACTGTTCTTTTTTCCCTCATTGATGTGGTAAATTCCCAAGCATCTTTAAAAACTGAATTCCTAAGTTTCCACCTAAAAGTGATTTCCTAAGTAGAGACAATAACTCCCTTTATTTATCCCAGTCCAGAAAATTATAATAACATTATTCCATTTTAACACATTATACACATTATCTTATTTTTCATTTGCCTTCCTCACTAGGAAGGATGCTTCCTGAGAGCAGTACTCTGAGGTACATACTCTGTGTCACTAGTGCCTCGTGTAGTCCTCAATACATAAAACGTACTTAATAAATGGTTAATGAAGGAAAATATAGGCAAGTGAAAAATTATCGGGTAGTTAAAAGAAATGCCACAAACTCGTTTTATAGCTTTAAAATGTCTCTAATTATGTGAATTATAAAACTATAAGAAACCAATAAACAACATCATAAAAAAGGTTACAAGACAATATTCCCTTTTTCCACTTTAAATTGCTTCACCTTCAAGTGACATCTTTGTGGAAATGTCTCAGCAGAATACTTGGAATTATATAAGTATTTTAAAAGAGTACACAGTGGGATGTAAGCCCCCAAACATACTTCAAGAACTTGGGAACAGTATTTCAAAATTTTACCAACTAAAGTGACTTATCAATACAATATTGACGAGATCAATATGTTTCTTCAGTCTCTTCAAGGAGACTAAATAATATGTAACTCTTATTAGATTGTGACCTAATACATTATAATATATTTTAATGGATTTAACAAAAAAGGTAGTGAGGTGCTTGTCTTAGAGAATGATACCAAAGAATAAAAAGCTCGTTATTTTTCCAAGAAAAAGGGTGCTCTAACTTGCATCGCAAGTCCTATGATGGCACCTGTTTCAACAACCATAACTTTATTCTTTCCCTTAATGTCAAACTCATGTATTTACTCTGCACAGGCTCTCCCTCCTTCCAAAAAATTCAGCAGCTGCCTGTAGGTATGGTTATTGAGTAAAGAATAATGAAAGCACTGGGTGACTCACTTTATGGATTGTGATTAATAAGGTCTGGGTCACTGTGATAAACAGAACTAATAAGTAACCAAGGAAAGCAGTCAAATGTCTTAAGTTGCAAAATAAAATACCTTCATCTGTTGCCAATTTCATATTCCTTTCTCCAAAACTCATAGACTATACTCATTTGTGCAACATCATCCCATCTCATTACCAGCTCTAGCTATCAAATTAGAAAATGATAAGGTATTAACTGATTCTGTGGTGTTAATTGATTTTAAGGTATCTAAGGCCTCTTGAAGACCTAGGAAGCTAGAAGGAACAATTATCAAACATGATTTTGCAACATGGTAGGATATTTTCAGTTAACTCAAGGAACATTGCAAGATGTTTAAAAATAAATTTCCAAATAAACATAAGAATCTAATTAGAACATGAAGGTAGAATAACGAAGGTAGAATAAAAAATAGTTTATATTATAGGTGTTCCCGCCACCTAAATTAGTGCAATAGGTACTTTACTGGTACTACATAAATTACTGTGCACATGGAAGAATTAGAGGATACTGTAAAAATAAAGAATAAAATTAAATAAGTTATTTAATTTTAAACAAATGATTCATTTAAAATAAATAATTTTCTCACAAATATTATTTTCATTCATTGAATATTATTCTCTATGCTTATCTTATCTCTTTCCCTTGTATAGCCTCAGTTTCCAAAACTGCAGCCTGGTTCAAAGACCTATTTCTCTGCTTTCCCTGAGAAGAGTAAAAGTTCTGTCTATGGAATGAAAGCATTCTGGAAATTATGGTCATTAGATATCCACTATCATTAGAAAATGAGCTATTCTGGTCAAATAAACTTGTCTATTTAACTGAGAGCAAAATTGCCCTGGGCAAGGACAAATTCTTTTGTTGAGAGCTTTCTTGCTCTCAGGCACATAGAACTGTATTGTTAAATATTTCAATTAAGTTTAAGATATTTCAGTTTATTTTTAGATATTGCATATTTATAATCATATGTCTCTAATGTATACCCCTAGGAGTACGAATCTTTGTACACACTCTCAAAGAAAATGAAAATGAAAAGATTTATTAATAAAGTATGGGGGCCTCTCAGAACTTGAACATGTACCTAAAGAACTAACCTGAAGGAGAAATAAAGTGATAAAACTAGAAAATTCGGGTCTATGGGAAATTGAAGGGGAGAAAAATTTCAAATATAAAATGTTATTACCAATTAAGAAGTATAAAGTAGATATGAAAAAAACACAACGATTTTGGAGGCTTCTTAAGTTATCACTCAAACGTAAATATCAAGTTGCCTCAAGTTCTCTTAGCGGAAGAAACCTAAACTAAAAATTTCAGAGGTTATTCAGAATGGACAAAGCAACAGGGCTTGAAACAAATTAGTCAACTAAACCTATATGCGCATGACAGGATGTATTTATTATGAAGTTTATGTTTACAAGCTCCATTCATATTCATAACCCTCTCATCTCCAACCCACTATTCTTTCTTTTCACCTCCCCTTTCACTACCCCTAAGTTCAGTGGTCAAAGTCTGTGGGAAAAAATAGGGAAATATACCAAACTATAGCATTCTAAATGAGTTCTGAAGAGTTCTTTGTGTCATG